GATGTCCAAAACGTGCATGACGGGCAGATTCTTCACAGGCCCTCCTTTTAGCCACGCCCAAAGAGATGAGGCCTGGCTATCCTCCGACACCACGTGAGTCACCACATCGCTGTGGGGAAGTGGAAAAAGAGCCGTTTCAGAGCACGTTTGGCAAATTCTATACAGAATTCTTGCTTCTTTTTTTTTTATTGCAATTGATAAAAAAAATATGCTACGGTTTGCCCGTGTTGGTTGAAAATAGTATAATGGTGGTGGTGAGAACGAAACACCACAGGACCAAAAGAAACATTTAAAACAAGCTAAAATGCTGAGAGGAACTGCAGAAATCCTGTTATTACATGCAGAAATGCAAACTGTGTCAAAATCTAAGCAGCCTCTTGTGTTTAGGGTTATTATAGTGAAGTAACACTTAACTCAAGACTAAAAATGTAAAATGGGTTTTTAAAACTAATAAACTGTTGGATCCTGTGTAGTATTTTTCTGTAGATCAGGTCATCAAACATATCATATTAGCAAAAGCCAAAACTAACACTGAACTAATAAAAACTCAACTAAAACTGAACAATAAGAGCTAAACTGAAATAGACAAACTAAAACTGAACTGACCTGAACAACTTTTTTCACATTTTTGAAGTGGAAACACTACTTTGTGAATTTTTGGACATGGAAATCACAGATTAACTCAAGATGTGATACTAACACAACACGCTACTTTTGCCCCTCTGAGTTTCTTCTCCTTCACTAAAGGTTAGCTTAGCATCACATTCAATTGTTAAGCACCACCACAGGTTTAATGAAGTCGTGACTCTGGTAAGTTAAATATAAAATATAACATAAATACCTTGCAACAATAGTTTAACTGCAGAATGGCATGGACACTCTGCAACTTTTCTTTTATACTGGAATACAACCAGAATACAACCAACGAATTGCCTATTACAAAGAAGCACATCGCACCAGTGCAGATTGCCTCAGACTGATTGCAACATGATTGCAATCTGCCTCTCTGTTTAAAAACTGAATAGCTGTTATTTGGAAACCTTTGCCAATCTGTCTGAGAGTGGTTGCAGTGTGTTCAAATAACAGGCAGCTGTTTAGAGAAAGGTTGCCTCCCACCAGGTGACCTTTGCAACACTTTAAACCAGGGGTGTCAAACTCCGGTGCTTGAGGGCCAGCATCCTGCTTGTTTTTGAGATATCCCTAATTTGCATGTTATCCAAATTTGACCAAGAACCAGTGACATATCATCTTTCATGAATTTTAACTAATCTTTGACAAACATTTT